GCGTCACTCTGCAGGGACCCAGCCCGGTGAGCCAAAGAGAGATCTCTCCACAGCCCAGTAGCTGTAGTCCTGCTCTCACAGGGAAGGGCGGTGACGTCACCTGCTCTGGTACGCCGGCTCTTTCACAGTGCCTGTCGGCCGTAAGCATTACACTATTTTTGGTGCGTATGAGAGGTTTGTGTCTTGCAGTGCAGCCTTTATAATTCTGATTTCAAAGATTGTGTAAATTTGATTCTGATATCTTCACCTCTACACTGTGGAGGTCACTACATTTGTTTGAGAGTTTTTCTTCACAGCTCTGATAATTTTTTTATCATCAACTGCAGTTGTTTTCCTTGACTGATCTTGTTGCTTCCAATTGCTACAGTAAGTACACTAGTGGCTTCTTTCTTTTTTCAAGATATTCCACATAGTTGATTTTGCTATGCCCAGTTTCTGTGCTATGGTTCTGATTGAATTCTTCTTTTCTTTCAGCATCCAAATTGCTTGCTTGTCTTTCATAGACAGTTCTCATCTGAAGTGGGGGGAATTGAACACAAAAACTGCTATTATTCTAAACAGTACAACATATACTATAAGCACAGAAATACCCAGAAATAAAGGGTGACATTCTGCACTTTTGCCACATATTTATCTTTTCATCTCAAATCGGAATTGCTTGGGTATACAGCAAAAACAGCAATTTCGACTGCACTGCCACAATGCTTATAGAGGGCACTGTATTACTGAAACCAGTGCTTAAATATTGTCTGCAATATAATCTTTATTATATTAAATCAAGTCATTCAGTACCATGGTGCTTGACATACTACTAAATTAGTCAGGAAACATGGTTGGCAGTGTCAAAAAAAGAGCTTTAATGAGTACAAAGAAATACTGTTACACTGTAGTGCTGTGCTTTGCCTTATGCAAAACAGGTTGCAATTTTAGTGCTCATTCTTGCACATTATCTGACTTGAAAATTCAATAAGCGATCTTACTGCCAAGCAAATTTTATGACACAGTGGTTACATTATATATGATACCCTATTGTAAGCTTCATTTAATTTTTGTGTTGTTTGTGTGTGTAATATGGATCTCTATGTACTCTACTCATATCTTTGGAACTAATATCTTCCGATGACCAGTGGCACAGACAAGCTTGTCCCTCCTAATAAATCCTGCACAGAATTCTAAGAGATCACCATTAGGATGCTCCCAGCAGCCAATACAGAATTCCTTAACAAACTGCTCTATTTCAGTGGTAACTGGATATCTAAAAATGTCCATACCATTTAGTGCCATACTCATACAAAAAGCAAGAGAAAAATGAATGCTTTCACAGGAATAAATTAGTGTTATATAAGTCAGAAGGCCATGAATACCCATTATAGAGGCAACTGATGCTTCACGGGTTACATGCAGTACAGTCTCACTGCACGTCCAATGTACCTCATGCTGTGGAAACAATACCTGATGGCTTTTGCGGGCATAAGCACATGTTCTAGCTATTTCACACCTGACTGTTAGTTTTCCACAGTTCCCACAGCACAAAGTGACATATTGTACAGTACTGAACTGCAGTTTCTCTCTTTTCTTTCTTAGGAAGAGAAGGGCAGTTAAAAGTGTAAACCAATGAACCAATGAAGCATGTGACCTGCCTGGTTTTTACTAAGGGAAGTAAAGGAGTTCTGAAAGTTGCTGCTAGGCTCAACGGAGTTGGGAATTTGTCATTTTCAGTTGATTTCTTCTCACTGTTAAATAACTGTATTGCTATAGGTGTGTGTGTGTGTGTGTGTGTGTGAGGTCCAAGACCCATGTACTTTAAAGAGGTCCACTAGAGGTGAAAGGAGGCACAATTCCAGTTCTTTGCAATTCATAAATGAACTCACACACAGAGAGTAAAATTTAGAGATAGCAATTAACCTACTGTAGATAGCATTTCATTTGACTATTTCTATTTTTGTACTGTACATTTCATGTAAAGCAACTCACATGACAGCTGTACCAAACTTATACCTCTATTATACTGTAACGCTTCGGGGTTCAGGCGGGCGCCCTTCCCGCATCAGGTCGGCCCCGCACCGTCAGGGGCTCGAACCCAGGACTCCCACGTCACTCAACAGGGACCCAGCCTGGTGAGCTAAAGAGAGATCTCTCTCCAGTCTAGTGGCTGCAGTCCTGCTATTACAGGGAAGGGCGGTGACGTCACCGCTCCGGTAAGCCGGCTCTTACACAGTGCCTGTCGGCTGAATGCGTTACAATACCTACAGTATATTATGTAGAAAGAGTTTATTGAAATATTTCTGAGGAAACATTTTTGAAAGAACTAAAAAACAATAAAGTACCCACCTGTAAGGGATCTGGTTACAGCACTTTCATACAAAGGGACCCCTTCACCAGCACTATTGAAAGACTTCAATGAGATGACATAGTGGGAGCTCGGCTCTGGGGGAAGAAACAAGCAAACTGTGAATTTAGATCAATGCACAATATTGGCTTAATTCATTTGTCTGGCAGTAAGTACTCAAAAACGTGCAGGACGCATGTGAGGCAGAGTTCAACAAATTTAATAAATATTTAAGACTTCTTAACTTTTTTAACATCATAGTGAAAAAGTAAACAAAAGAAACCTTCCTAACATTTTAACACACCACACAAGGTAAAGTGCTTTACAAATGCATTCAGACCCTTGCATAATTTTCAAGTTTTGTTTGCGTTAAAGCCCAGAGTGATGACACCTTGAAGTAGCAATTCATATTTGTTATCTACAAAGCCTACTCCTCACATTCACATTGCAAAATAAAAATAAAAACATAAATAGATAATACTTTTGAAAAAAATAAAAAAACGAATGAATGCATAAGTATTCAAACCTTTTCCTGTGGCAAATCTAAATGAATTTAGGTGCACAAAATTATCTCGATGAGCCACACAACTAGTTGACTGGTCTATGTGTCCGAGCCTATCGCAACAAGTCCATCGCAGGGCACAGAATTTGACATGTGAAATGATAATTAATCTACAGTACCTTATCTACACTGTGGATATCCTTCAAATAATGCTTTAATGTGACTGATTTCAAACGAATTTTCTTTGCCAGTAATATAAAAGTGTGTCCTTGCATCTCTCCATATACAGTACTGTATGTGTGCATGAGGTTGGTAGATTAACTGTGTTCTTCTAAGAATCTGAAATATATTCAAAATGTGTATATTAATACTAGGCCTAGCTGATGGTAACTATAGAGACCACACAAACCACCAGATGACAATTTGAAATATAAAGTAAAGGATAAACCTTTTAATTAGACATTAGGGTGTGTGTAGGATGAAAACAACGCTCAATGAACCCCAGACATACAGTGTACAGTACTTTTCTTTTTTCAAGATCGATTTAAAGTGCAGTGAAACTTAGGCAGTCTTTATACCAAAAAAGTTTAAATTTCTTTCATTATGGATTCATAAATACATCGTTGTATCCAGCATCTGTTGAATATTAAAAGTTTCTGCAATGTTTTTTTTTTCCTTCCCTTGCAACTGTAATGGTTTTTAAATTCAATTTCCGCTTCACTTGTTTTCTTATTAAATTTCTTTAAAGAATGAATTATAATTAATTTAATTTACAGGTTTGCATTAATGTTCAAAAAGTGTGTAATCTGCATGCGGAGAATGAAAGGAAATATGCAAATATGACTTTCTTTCCTTTCAGGAAGGAGGTCGGAGAGGGTCTTGCTTGTGAATTTTAATTCATATTTTAGAAGGCCTGGCAAGCTTACAGATTTAAACTTGATGCCAAATACTTTCAGTTTCTGCAGTCAACAGGTGAAGGCTTAGAGTAGAGAACTGGAATGTAATAAAAGTTTTTATAGACTACTGCTCAACCATTTGCTTTCTTGATTCTTATTGCACAGCTCTTAAGCTGTTTTCTGCATGAATTTCACTTGATCTATAACCTCCCATTATGTTTTATAATTATTCCATTTTAATTGGCACAGAAAGCTCACTTGTTCCTAAAGTATAAAGAAAAGCACATTGGGAAAAGACTAAGAATCTTTATTCTTCAAACAAACATTATGGTGTGGCATTGATACACTTCCTCATGATATTTACAGTCATTTGCCTTTCCAAAATGCTTTTCCTCCTGGAGTACTACGTTACCATGGATTTTTTTGTTTGCTTTAAAGAGCACAGACACAGAAAATCACACAAGACAAAACATCAAATAAAGGACAGTGACAGGAACCCCTCAGGACCCCTGGGCTTAATAAGATAAAGAAAAACAGGAAGTAAAAGAGATGTTAAGTGTTTTCTTCTTCAGTAAAACATGTATTAATGCCAGATTCTATTGCAGTTTGTGTGTGATGGCACATTTCAAAGTAGGCAATGTCTCCTTCACTGAGTCTTGTTAAATCATGCTCCTGGGAAAAATATATATGAATATACAGGTATTTTCAGTTTAAATAAAACATATAAAACAATCAAATCCTGTATTATGTTATTAGTACGTTAGACACAATGAATTAAAATAATGTATTGTGCACCAAAATTAAATATAATATCATGAATTAAATATTTAAGTCAATAAAATGATGTAGTGTGCTCAATAATAACGTGGACATCTCTGAACACCTGTCCTGTAGTTTTGTTGTATGTACAGCCGGGGGGTCATTTCCATGTACTGGAACGCTAGTGTGTTTGATTCACTGTGGCACATTTAAATCTTTGCCTGAATTAACCTCCTGTCTCGTAGATCCAAGGGGTAAACATCCTTGAAGAAACGGGTTTGCTATATTTGTTTTTCAGTGCATGGTTCTTGTTTCATAACAACACACTTGGAATTTAACTAATTATAAATTTAAAAAAATGGAAAACTATGCTTGCCATGATTCATCTTTGACAAATGTGCATAGTTTTGTGTATAGTGCATGGTATTATTATTAATAACAATTATTATTATAGGTATACTACTGTATATTAGTATACAGTATAGCAAAAGTGGTATTTGAAACATACAGAATTTCACTGGCTGTTTATACAGAATCAGAATCACTGAGCTGAGTTGAACGGGTTATTGTCCTTGCATCAGTTAATAGAGCAGATTAAATTGAATTTTGCTACATTCATATTTTTTATTTATTTTTCACATGCTACTTATTGTGTTACACTGTATGTTCTTTTAGTAAGTCCTTGTGGTTTCTGTTGAAGCTGCTGTTCACCTTGACCTGCACTTACTGTGCCCTGAACTTTTAGAAGCAGTTTAGAGATGACAATAGATGCTCTTGCATGAATCTCATTGAAAATCATGAGGAACCTGTACAGTTCACATACTGTATCACATACCTTAACTATTAAGGAAAACCATTATAAAATGTAAGCCATATTTCACATATTTGTATTAATCCAACTATATATTCTATTATAATAAAATGCAATTATGCTAAATCAATCTATTTTTCATATATATGTGCATAAAAAAAATAGAATTAATTGTTTTCTGAGAACGCTGGCCATGGTGTGAGTGTTTGGCGTGTTTGTGTCTTTATATGCCCTGCGATGGCCTGTTGCTTGTCTGGATAACCTGTTGTTTTTAACACTTTTGCTGATCTGAAAATGAGTATATGCAATTTACATAGTTCTTTGTTTTTTATACATGAATATTGAATGAGAAATACTGACATAATCCATGCCTAAAGGCTTTTTCTAGGTTAATAACTTTCCTCAATCAAGATGCTACTTTTAGAAAAGAAAGCTGCATCCTAGAGCCTACAGAAGCCCTAATTTCCCCAGAAGCTCTGTAAGATTAAGTTTGTTCCTGACATGTCTCATTAGTGTTCTGCAGCCCCTAAATTGTACAATTACGACAGACAAAGTGTATGAAGAAAGGAAAACCTACAGCCAAAGCAACCTTGAAAGCCTTGTTTAAGAAAAATAAATTGTTGTATAGACAAAAAAAAACTCTGAAAAGATCTATAATATTTTTTTTTAAAAAAAGGTAATGAAATTGTAAATAAACCATCTACCAAAGGTGACAACTCATTCTGCACCGTTATGTACAAATCAGTCTCTGATGGCAACAAGTATGATCACATTAGCAAACCCAAATGAAAAATAAAATATTGCAGAAATATGGATGACTTTTTAAGAATCATGAAATTAACAAAAATACATATGCAAATAAAAACAATTCAATAAATATCATAATATTACTTGATTTGTCCTTGGCAAAAAAAAGGGAAAATACACAGCAAATATTCTACATATTTCCGGTTTCTAAGCACTATAAGCCCCTGTTCATAACTTTGGATTTTGTGGACTGCACTGCTTCTTAAAAAAATGCCGGTATACTGTATGTGCATGCACTATCAGGTAAAAGAGGATACAATATCTTGACTAGGTAAACTTTACCAAAGATTAATCAGCCTGGCTAGATCAGCAAGGAAATGGTTGAATGAAAAGGACGTTACCCAAATTTTCAATGGAGTAATAGCGCTGCTTGCTGTCCACCTTCACAGTTTCTGCATATGGACTGCCCACTCCATAGCCGATGATGTACCCCCTGACAACGATGTTAGGATTCAGTGGGGGGGTCCAACTCATTATGATGCTGTTTGTCAGTGGTCGGACGTGAAGCGAACTTGGTTGATCAGGAACCTGCGATTCTGAAATGAGGATAACATTCAATAATAATGTTAAGTCTAAGTGTAACAAAAGTGTAACAAGAAAAGGAATGTGAAAGTCCAAAGCCACATGACCTGAGATTGAGATTGTGTTTCAACCAGTTCTATTAAGCTACAAGCAACAAAAATAATTAATAATGCTGAGAGACATTGTTGGTTGTTTAGATGATAATCCATTCATTTAAAATTAAAAGTAGTTCTTGGCCATAAAAGTTGGCCTTGATTAATTTCCTGTTCAGGCTTGTTTATGGTTATGATGATCAATTTTCATGAAGAGTTTAGATCTATTTCTATTCTGCATTTGCCAAAGAACTTCCTCAAATATTCCAGCTGAAAGCTTGCATTATTGGAGCCTCTTATAATAAACCATTTTACCCCAACTTGAGTAAATGCTGTGAATCAGTGAATCACGAGAGCTGAAACAGTTTTGAGGCAAATAAACTGTATGAAGAAGTAAGAATGACTTTCCAGCTCACTAGCATGTCAGTATCACCTATAAAGCAAGGGAAGGAAATATGTTTTATTTTTAAAGCATTTAACTCTTTTACACCTGATAACAGAACATCAATTTAAGTCTCTGCTTTTTAACTAGATTAGCTGTATAAACCTTTCTCCATTTTCCTTGCTTCATGTAATGATAGATGTCTTATCTTAAAAAAATGTAAAAGCTTGGGGACAAAATGGAACCCAGCAGAAAAAGGTGGAATTTAATGTTTTATGTTTTTTACCATCAAGGTCATTCTCTGGAGTCTCAGCTGTGTACCAGTCTGTAGAGGGGCCAGTCCCATTTACAGTCATTGCCGACACTTGGAAACTGTATTGACTGCCCTTCTCTAGTCCTGCAGAGAATTATGAAAACACCTCAGCAACATGTAGCACCTTCACACATGTACTGGAGTTATGACTTACAGAACAAATCTAAAAAAGTGGTAAAACAGTTCAAGGAAATGAATGCAATGCAAGTATACCAGAATCATTCACATTTCATTTCATACAGTATGTAAAAACAGGGCATTCCATTCATCTTGCCTTTATATAAAAATGCAGAGTTATAACATGCGTGCAGAATATTGCATCAAAATACTGTACATAGTCTACTGTACATATACCCATACGTAAATAAATCCAGTTCTAAAACAATAGCAATGCTATATTTATAATTGTTTTTACTTAAACTTTTGACTTCATGCATATAACATATATAACCTTTGACAAATTTCTGTCCAGTTATAATGCACATACAGTACTTCTTGAATTTGTGCCAATACCATAATACTGGTCAATTCTTGTAATAAAATGGTGAAATTATAATTAACATATGTACAATATATGTTTATGATGATATGCACTTAACATAACTATACTGTATATAATGCAACTAAGAAAAAAACTCTTTAAAAAACATGCAGTAGAGATTTAGGACTACTGTAGGATTGTAATATGATAGAAAATATTATATTTATTTTTGTTGAGTCCTAATGTGTCCTTTAAATCACACTAAAAAAAAATTCAGTTAGTAAAAAGCATGATTTATAAGTGCAGGTACTGTATAAGTACTGTAATTCAAACTGAACTGAAGTTTAAATGGATGGTTTTGTGCCCCATGGATGCACCTGTGGCACAGATTTTCCTTTTACTCCTTGAATGCAGCACTCAGGTCTCAGGCTAATTTATCACCTACAAATTCATCTTTCACATTCAGGACATTGCATTTAGGAAAGGTTAGACTACCTGTGAACAGGTACCAAAGGTTATTTGGCTCAAAGGTTTCTTGATCCCCTCTGCGCCCTGTCTTTCTGTGGCGAATTTTGTAGCCCGTGATAAAGCCGTTTTGTGCATTTGATGGAGGAGGCATCCAGCTGACTTTAATGCTCTGTAAAAACACAAAAGGGAAGTCTGATGAAAAAAACCTCTGATGAGATATATATATATACAGTATATAGTAAAACTAACTGGAGCAAATCAATCCTCGGTTCTCATAAAGTATAACAGACCTCATAATTTCTGAGAACACAATATACAGTACACATCTTCCACAGGGTTAGAACACACACAAGAGAGACATGGATTTCAAGAACATTTCAATGACCACATTTTATTTATGCATCTGAAAATGGTCTATCAAATACCAAACGCTTTTGTCCAATTATAATTTTGTCATTTTTCCTTACCTTTACAGATACGCCATTTGACCCCCTCTATCAAAAGTATAAAATAAATAGCGGGCTGACTTTGAATTAATTGGTTCAGCGTAGTAAAAAAAAAACATGAACATATGTTCCAGACTGGAATATCTGATTTCAATTTGCTTTTACTGAATGATTCTGATGAGTTCATGCGGACATCTCAAGGGCATATTCTGTTTAACAATGTTGTTCTCAAATTGTTCAGTCCAGAGGAGTCTCAGCAGTGATCATGATGCCTTTATTGTCAACACACTTTTAAGTGTTAATATTGGTATGTAAAATGCATGAAACATATTAAAGTATGTATGGTTTAGCTGCATCAGTATGCAAATACTTTGAAGAAACAAATCTGTTAATGTGTCTGGCAGGAATCTAGGAACAGACCACACAGAGAACGGATTACAATACCATACTAATATGTTGCACTGCAGCATGAAGACTATTGTCACCTGGTAGAATACTTAAAAGTCCTCGTTTGATCAATGAAGCTCATTTAATGACATATGGCTACAAATACAGCCAAAGTTCTTTGTGGGCATAATCATCCCTGGATGCTAGTTTGTATTTTCATATTTTGCAGACCTGTGTCCTCTGCATACTGAATTACATTATTCAGCAACAGGATAGAAAAAGAAGTTACTTGAAATGAGGTTTCTTGAACCGCACTTCCAGTTAGTCTCAATCGTACTATATGGGTACAGAGAAGGTTATTCATTTTTTATGTCTGTCAAATCCACGGATTCTTAAGGTGTTACATTTAGTTAAATTTAAGGGTTAATCATCACTAGTGGGGCAAGTAATAACATTACCAAATCAATTCCTTTTCTGACCTGATCCTAATCAGTAAACAATAGTATAAAATCAGTATAAAAGACATTCTAAAATTAATAATAAATAACAATCCTCTGTACTGTATCTTGCAACATACAGTACAACTGTAACATACTGCACAACACACTTCAAATTTAAATGCATCGGTTTCCCTTTAAAAATAAATATCTGCATCCACATCAAAATACAAAATCTTGAGATACTGTACATCGGATTGAAATCATCAAATATTTCCACCAGAACAGAAAGTTTAAATGACTGGGATTTCATCCCAGTAAGCAATTACATCAGGTAATGAACCGGCAGTAACTGCATCTGGTGACTAAAGAAAGCCAGAAAAGGTTCCTTTCTAAAATGTGATGGAAGATTATGCAATTGAATGAAGTAGATAGAGCCACTGCACTGCACAGTGACTATGACTCTTTATTTTGCAATAGTATGTCTCTGAAGCAAAATAATTAAAAGACATATAATTACACTGGGTATGCCCTGGGCAAGCCTGTCACGTAATTTTAGCTGTATCCCTATTTATTTTCTTTCATTTTAACCACCACAGCTTATCTGTGCTAGATGCAAGTTTCTTTTTCAACAGATTTGCATTAAAGCTAATCCCATAATAATTTAGTGTGGATAAATCGGTTGATAACATATTGTTTTCATTAAGGGTCGTCTGTGCAACTCTATGTTAACCCTGTGTGTAAGGTCACTTCACAAACCGCATTTATTTTTACATGCAGTATGCGCATAACTTAAAAATAAAAAATGACAGAATCTCTCAGAAACAGAAAGAGAGACAGACAAACACCTGCAGGAAAACAACAGTTCAATTTTTGGTCTTGTCACTATTCCATCACCAGCTATGACATAAATATTTGGATTAATTAACCTCTGTAAAGGCCCATCAGGAGCTTGACACTGATAAAGCCCACAGCCTCTTGGCAATACAGGAATCCTATCATATGTTTAATGACTGTCACATTGCCTCAGTAACGGGTCCAGTTAATGCCAGCTGCCACACGCAGGGGACCGCAATACCATCTGCACAAAACAGCCTGTTAACATGCAAATAAACCAATTAAAATTCACATAACGGTAGCATGGACGTGTTGAGTCAACCCTGATTTATCTTTTTTTCCCTCTCCTTTTTTAATTTCTCCAAGCAGGGCGGACAGAGGATATGGTTGGTGCTGTGGGTTGTCTTATCACTGTGATTCTGCTCACCTAGATGGACTTCTGTGGAATAGTAATTGCTTCTGTTCTCACCCAGAAACACCTTGCACTGCCTCTGCTCTCCCCCATCGGTTTTGTCAACATTGGCTACTCTCTCTTACATGAACATCCTAGTTAATCAATACTTATATCACATTTTCAATTAGCCCCACAGCAATTATGCAAGTAATTGATTAACATTTACCAGCACCTGTACTTGGCTATCATTTTAATTGCGGATTACATTGGGCTTGATTGCTTTAAAAGGTACCCATACTGGAGCTGGGACTCCCCTAGAGTTTAAAGCCACAGCACAGACAGCTGAAGGAGAAGGTTTTAGGGGATGTGCTATTTGGCTGCATATTAGTGCTAATTGTCCCTGGAAGAATATGAGAGGATTCTGTTTTGAACAGTATTAAATTAGCTCCCATTCACATAATTATGTAAACTGTGCTTGTAAGCAGGCACTTGCACTTAGTGCTCTATTCGGGATCCCTATTTCTCACAACCCACTCAGCCGAATGGCACAAACTCAGGTCAGAAGGGCAATGTACTGTATATGGGAGGCTTTTCAGCTGCAAAATTCAACCAGCAGGAGCGTCTCAAGGGGATGTAGAAGACAGTTTTTAAATCTTTTTTTTCTTTTGATATTAGGCAAACATTCCTTAAGACAAAGTTCATCAAGCCGGAAATGAACCTGGCTGAGCAGGAAATTTGCTTATTTCTTCAAAGCCACAATAACAAACTTTCAAATGCATAGGATTTCAGGTGGTTGCTACAGAAACAAGCACCTGTTAACCTATCTGAAAAAAGAGTGATTCCTATTTCAAACCCCTGTGCCTTTTCCCAGGTTTCCATTAGCTACCTCTTCAGGTAGTTTTCAGCCAAAAAAATGCCCTTCAAACTTTATCCACAGCTTTAATGAATAGATATATGTGAAATAAAGTCCTGTGTGTGAAAGATATATATCACACAAGTGTGTGAGATTATGATCTAACCTTCCTCCCGAACTTTTGGTATATCTCTATTTAATGAAAAAAACAAAATCAATATCTGAAGAAATATTTTAGGCTTAAAAGTAAAGGTAACATACTGTACAGTATGCATTGTTTTACTTCCTCTTTCCCTCTTATTCTGCTGACTTCTTAAATCAAAGAAAAAAATGGCACAAATTTAGCTAAAATTTCAATCCCTTGCCTCATTTACAGTAAAATTTAATGAATCCTTTACATTTTTGGCATTATGTATATTTTTCATCCATCTCAATGTCTTGAAACAGCTTTCATTGCAGTTATGTTTTGCAGCTTCTCTGAATGATGTGTGTTTCAATGCATTTTAAATGTGCACTAATGATCATTACTCTACAAATGGATCTGTATCATAAGGACGTAAGAAAGTTTACAAATCAGAGGAAGCCATTTGGCCCATCTTGCCCATTAGGCATTTATCATTCAGTTGATCCAAGGATTTCATCCAGTCATTCCTTGAAAGCAGGATATGTGCTTGAACAACATGGCAGGGTATCTTGTTCCAGACTCCCATTCTCAAGCCCTCTCCTGTATCTAGAATAAAGAAAGTACCTGTACCTGACAACAACACTATTAAGTAAAACACAAAGAGTTAAGCCATTAGTGTCATAGATATGTAGGTGCCCTTGTGTGTGGCTGCCTGAATTCCATTAGTGGTCATGTTCAGTTCATTGCACACCATTACAAATGCTCTCAATAACTTTGGACGGAGGCTAAGGCCCTTAGTCAGCATCATCCAATTCAATTTTCAGAACGCATGGAAAAAGACAGCCAAGGAAAATATACTGCTTTCTGTTATATTGATATCATACATGCAATCATACGCATCCTCTTACTTCAGAATTGATTGAATCATCAAGTTAAATTGTATTTATGCTTACAAAATGATTTTTTTCTGCCAATTTTCCTTTTGATTTTTACTCAAAGAACACCACCAGTTATACAGTATGCTTTTTGAGGTATTTGGACACTACTCCTAGAAACATTAGAATGTATCACTGATGTATAAATCTATCTATGAAGTCTTAAAAATTGTATATATTATTTAGGGCTTCACAACCTGGAAGCTCAGTTTTGGAGAGTTAATGGATATTCATTAGTTATCTTGAGTTGATGCTCTCATGTCTTAGCTCAAGTGACTGATTTGAATAACCTGGTTTGTGAATAATTTCCACATTCTTTTCTATCAGAAAACAGACATATATTATAAATATTTAATGTTCTGGAAGCATTCTACACTGCAGTCTGTAATTATAACTACATTTATTAGTACAGTAAAATAATATAAAAAAAGTGAATTCATAGATGTATTAATCTTCTGCTACCTATAAACCTTTATTCCTATCCTATACCTTTTTGTGAGTGAGTGACACGGAAATTACTGGTTTCAATACAGGTAAAATTAATAACAACAATCAAACAAACAGCAACAGCAGAGCTGTATACTACAGTACATAAATAACACAATGCACTGTACTGAATGTATTTTTTATTTATTTTATGCCTACTGTTCTGTAGTACAATACAGCCTACAGCGCTTATAGAAAAGGGCTGGATTTTATAGCTGGATTAGGGCTTCTTAATAGAAAAAAAAAGCTACTGTATTTGGCCTTGAAAAG